CAATTAAATTCATAGATTTCATTTCCAAGGGGATCATTCGAATAGGCAAAAGCAGCCAACATAAATAACCCCCATCCACACCAAACCCTAACCCTAGCCGCCAGACCCCCTCGCTGGAGAAGAAGACCCGGCCGCCGGGAAGGAGACTGCCGCCACCCGCCGCCGCACCGGAGCTCTTTCTGACCCGAAAAAAAGGTAAAAATTTCCCATTTTGCTTAGAATTTAATTTTAAACACACTCATGGTTAAATTGGAGCAAAAAGACCAGCCGATTAGTTGAAAAATATGAGCAAAGCGGCGACGTCGCCGCAAAGAATTCTACAAAATGCCTCCGATGAGGCCCTTCTCGATTTCTGTTTTGCGTGATTTTTTCACTGTTGTGATCACCGTTTCCTTTTCTACAGTTTAAGTAGAATAAAACACCCAACCGCAACGTGAGCTGGAGGAGCCGCCGCACCGGAGAGCCGCTCTACTGGTGAATTTCAATTTTTTGTATTTTTTTGGCCAACCGAGGTCCCTTAACATGTTTTCTCACAGGAATTGATGCAAAGTCAGCCAAATTCGACCGAAAACGACCGTGAATAACTGACCCGAGGCAAACCGCCACCGTGTCAGAATTCTAAAATTGGCAAAAAGGGGCCCTGAGACTGATTTTGGGTTTGTTTGGGATATTTGTAGGTACTTATAGCGCGTTTTAATTTCCAAAGGAAAATTTAGGGAACCCGAGAACCGCCTGTAGGGGCAGTGAACAGCTTGGCTTTCCGGGCACCAAATTGCGTAAGAATCCCTCATCCTATCCTCCATTATAGAATTGAAGTTTAATTTTGAATAATATTGTATTTCGTAAAACTTAAAAAATATCTATAATTAATTACGGGTTACTAATGGAGCTAGAATCGAAAATTATTTTCTGTTGGTTTTTATGGATTTATTTTACAGTTTAAATGCATGATAGTATCTAATTTATCGATTTATGGTTTGAATGCATGTATTGCTACCTTACATGACTACTATTAAATTAGAAAACCGAGATATGATTGTATTCCCTGATGCATGTTTATTTGTTTATGTGATTACGATTGATTTGAAAATGAAGAGTAAAGAAAAACGAAAAAATTATGTGATTAAGTGAATGAAAGAAACGGCAGCCTTACTGGATATCCTAGGAGATGATGGATAGACCGGGTATAATAGGGAACCCTACCATGAACGTTGTCTCATACCGGGCGGGGTATCGAGACTTGGTAATTTGGCGCTCATACCGGACGGGGTATTGAGATGGCCCGTTTCACCCTCATACCGGATGGGGTATTAAGGTTTAGTGGTTTGGCGCTCATACCGGACGAGGTATGGGGACGGCCCTTTAATTGAGAATGTTGAAGAAAATGGTTCAAGTGTAGTGAGGACATCCCTATAAACCCCTATAGATACCAGTAGGCTGATAAAAGGAAAGATTGTTGTTTGATTTATTGAATATGGATTTATAATGTGTGTCTATTACCAATTACATATAGAATCATAATAAGTACTATATTATTGTCTCTATAGGTTGCTTTTATAAATCTTGTTGTGGTAAGTGGATGGTAAATGGTTTTATTTTTAATAAATGTATTGGTTTAAATTAAGTGCTCCATTAGCCGATTTTCTACCAACCTTCATTTATGTGTCAGTGATATAGTGTGATATTCTTATTGGGTTAGTGTAGCTCATACCTTATTTAACTATTTCATATCAAGATGACCAAGATCCAAAGCTTGATCCGCAAGAGGGTTGCGAATAGAATTATAGTTTTTCTTATTTTCCGTTCATTTTCTTATTTCTTTGTATTTCTTTAAAAAAGGTGAATTTCGGAACATTAATTAGTACTTTAAGTTATTGTGTAAGGAATGTAAACCTTGAACATTTATTTCGCTTCTGCACTTTAATTATCATTTACTTTCTTTGGATATTTCCATGGTCGTTACAAAATATTTCATTAAATATTTAATTATTTTTTGTAATATTAGAAAAAATGTATTGCAATTAAATTAATCTTTAATAAGAAATTATACTCTCTTTGGATAATTTAAAAGAAAATTAACTGTAACGACCTGTTCTCTAGGTGGAGTCACGAGTATCCATGCATACCAAACATTGATAAATACTATCAAATTAATGTAACAATGCAGAAAATTAAAGTGTCTACAATCTCACCCCTTGCCATATTTGTGGAATTAGAAATAGTTAACAATAATGGGAAATGTCACAAATCCCAAAAGACTAGATAAATGTTCAAAGTTCGGAAACTAAATCGATACTAACATAAGTTAATACAAATCCCATGTTATTTATGGGTCTCTTCACTGTTCCGACTGGTCTTGAGCTTGTTCTTAGTTCTTCTGCTCTGAAAAATAGAGATGTATGAGCTACATATACCCAGTAAGAATAAGTTAGTAACTTAATTTTCAAGATTGAAAGTAGTATACCAAAACCCTTTTAGGCTCTTATACTGCTATGCCCATGTTCCCTCACTGAAGAATTACAATCATCAACTTCTAACTAATTTAGAAAATTAGTCATTCACAACACAAAGAGGATTAACTATTCATTCATTGATCATATTGTAATAATACTTACAATAACATGAGGTTTAAAATGTTGAGTTAAAACAAAAGTAACAATACCCTTTTTGGATAGAATGCTAGAAATTCTTATTTGGGCATAAATAAAAGTCCTTTACTGATATGGTTCTGACTCCGAATCCCCTTGATCTGAAAAAATTATAATTAAATTGGGTGAGCTTTTCACGTGCGCAAATAAATATATAATCTAGTATATGCCCTAGGCATGCAACACTCAGTCATATGTATAAAACTTTTCTTACATTTTTGAAAAATTATGAATTTAAATAAAACTGGATGTTACTCTTTTCCTTTTCTCTTATTCTAGTTTACTTGGTCCTATTCTTTAGGCTAGAATTCACATCACAATTTTTAATTTCATCTCCACATACATCTTACAAACTTATCACAAATTATAAATTTTAAAGTTTAAGTTCTATATCATTTTATTTAATAGTTATTACAATTTTTTTCTATCTTATTAGTTTTTGATCATCACATAACACTCCCAAGTGTAGTGTTACTAATAAAACTAGTACCACTTCGGGATCAGAATTCCCACTACCACATGGGCAGGAACACATATACACATGCAAACGAATTGACTACAGCAGTATTTCGCCAGGTGACCCACATCACACATATACTAACCATGTCTGGATGAGCTTTCATCCAACCATAAGTAGGGTTCACCAACCACTGAATTTCAACCATACTATTTTGACAAATATTAAATGTTTTATTTCGACAATTTCTTTGTATTTCTTTTTTTTTTTTACATTTGTTTGTAATTTTGTTATATTTCTTTAATTTTATTAATTAATTGTTGATTGATTTGTTATTTGATTATATTAATTTATTTTATATTTTTTATTTATGATTTATTTTCCTACTAAGCTAATTACTTTCCCTAAGGGTTTTATGAAAGTCTTCTATAATTAGTTTTATATCAATCATATTCTTTACACATCCTTGTAATGTCACAGACCATACCTCGTCTTATAGGGCAATGACTGGAACATACTTACTTAAATCACATGGACTCAAGTTAAGTATAATAGCTTAACTTTATTAATTATAACAGAGTCGCAGAAGTGTTACATCCCTTAAATGTAAAACATAAACACATGTTTAAGACTCTAAATTTTTTTCTTACATTACAAAATAAAAATATGAAATAATAACCTTAATCTCATAGTCTAGCTTCAAAAATTATTCTCCGTATCACCGTTCACGCCTGTAAATGATCCAATGACTCAATAGAGTGTACAAGGGCAGTTATAGCAGCTAACAACTTTGAGATTAAGTCAGCCATTATCCAAATGACTCAATAGAGTGTACAATTTTTTAGGTTCCCAAATGTAGATCCTAATGAGAACATTGCTAATTTTATGAAGATTTGTGACACTTTCAAGCACAATGGAGTGAGCAATGATGCAATCAGGTTGAGGTTCTTCTCTTTCTCATTAAAGGATAGAGCTAAGATTTAGTTAAATTCATTCGGTTGGTTCCATCACTACTTGGGAGGACATGACTCAACACTTTCTAGCCAAATACTTTCCACCTTCAAAGATAGCTAGGTTAAGAATGACATCACCACCTTTGCACAAATAGATAAAAATCATTGTATGAGTCCTGAGATCGTTATAGCGATCTACTAAGAGAGTCTTCACCATGGTCTAACTATGTGGCTTCA